CATCCATCCATCCATCCATCCATCCATCCATCCATCCATCCATCCATCCAAATTGATGCATTTCAGAGGGCTATACTGTATAATTCATCCAGCAATTTCTGGATCCATCCATCCATCCATCCATCCATCCATCCATGGTGATGCATTTCAGAGGGATATACTATATAATTCCTCCAGCAAGGTCTGGTTTTGCTCTCACATCTCCTTCTAGTAGCTACTAGTAGGCATCTATGTGCCTGAACTACCACAGCAGACTGCTCTACTCCAAGCTCCACTGATAATGAAGCTCCTCACCTTGTCTGTAAGGTTGAGCCAGGCCATCCTAGGGAGGAAGTTCATTTCAGTCAGTTGCATCTGGGATCTTGTTCTTTCTCTTTTGATCCTTACCTCACTCATTACTGTACTGAGGTCACAATCCATCAGTTCACGCTGTAATCTCTCATAAAAACACTCAGATTAACTCCTTAGTCATTTGAGGCAAAGACTCAACTTGAACCTGAAAGGAGCAATCTACCAGTCTGGTTGAGACTGGCCTAAAGTTAAGTGCCTGCTGAAGGTCATGGCCCAAAGATGCCAACAAAACCCCATCATCTACACAAAGCAGAAAAGAGACGCTGATGGTCTCATCTCGATTTTGCAAACTGGCAAAGAAACAATATGAAATTTTAAATGTTTGGGTTGTTTTGATGGCAGAAACTAACTCTTTAATGGGCTCTGGGTTTAATGGGTTTTTGAGTAGCTGTTAGTTTAGCTCGCCCATCAAAAATCTTCACGATTCTTCAAACTGAGTTGATCTTAAGATACTGTTCATAATTACTTCACAAATTCCTGCATTGTTAAGAAATCCACTAATTATTTTAGTCTGACAGATGGACAGAATATGTAATTTTGAATGTCTTTATTTAAAATATAAAGTGTTTATCATCCTGCCCATATGCTTTTTTGTCTGTTTTAAATATTAGTAAAATCAATCATAATTGCCTCCACTGTGAAGCTGCAGACTGCCGCCTACAGCCTCAAGTATCAGAAGCACAACCTTTAAAGTATACAGAGACGCAGAGGGAACCAGTAAAAGCTGAAGGAGGATGAAGATTCAGCTCTAATTCTCACCATGAACAAGGATTCCCTCGTCCACCAAGACCTGCCACATTCCAACAGCCTGACTTCTTGACTGGAGGCACTCACTCTGCGTCATGAGCCAGTCAACAAGTTCCTTTCCTGAGCAGCACTGCCTGAGAGAGAAATGTAACATGATGTCACTTAAAGCTTGCAGGTGCACTCGTATTCAAAAACAAAAAGAGTCACATGGTCGGCATACACACCTGTATGTTTTCAGGTGATGCTTTCTATCTCGGACCAGGCCGGGGTTCTTCTCAATCATGACACTGAACACAGACCTCGCTGCTTTCACAACTCGGTCTGAAAGAAACTACAGAAAGATGAACGAAACAAAAGTAAGCCGTGAAACTACAAACTTTACATGTTGAGTTCACTTTGATGGGGAGGGTTTGTAACACAGGCAGCCTTTTTAACTGAACATGCCAACTTCTGTGACGTCGACCGATCGTTGGCAGAAGAAGCAAATGTTCTGACAAATGTTGGACTGCAAGTGACAAGAAGGGACACACTTTGGATTTCAGCTCCCCACAGAGTGGAAATCATGTGCAACGGTTTCAAACAGCGTGAGCAGAGTTTTCTGTACGTGTAGGAGTGTGATGTAGTACTTGTGTGTGTGTGTGTGTTTAGGTGTGTGTGTGTGTGTGTGTGTGTGGGTTGCAAGGAGGTGAGAAAGTGTTAAAAATGGCTCTGTGAAACTCTCCCACACCTCGCTGAGTTTCCAACTCACTCTCTGGCTGGTAGTACACAACTAACTTTTAGTTTCTGACCACAGTGACCCTCCCATCACCCCCCCCCCCCCCCCCCCCCCCACACACACACTACACACACACACAGATGAGGGCAAAACCATTATCGCTGCACCTTCATCTTTAGTGGTGAGTGATAAAAAGTTCCAAGCCAACAGATTACAGTCTTTACACTGACAGGGGTTGAAAGTTTAATTTTGCGCCTCCCCCCCACCACATTCCCACCCCCTGCTTCGCTCCCCCTCAGACACCTCCTGCATGTCTTGTGATCACACAAGTGACTCAGGCGGTTGCTGCTTGTGCTTTGAATGTTCTTCAAGACGAATTTTGCCCAAAGTGATCGTCTTGAGACATAAATCCAGTCCTGACAACTTCCAGCTCTTAGTGAAGACTTGAGTTTAGAGAAATAGAAGACAGAAGCTCCCAGAATCTTTTATATCCTCCTCCTCCTTTGCCTGCAGGATGTAAACCACCTACTGACCTCAGCCTCAGTGATGCAAACACAACCATTCCTCATTCAGTTGGAACAGGGCTCTGCAACCTTTACGATCAAAAGAGCCATTTCTACACCTTCATTCACTAAATTAAAAGTTCTCAGAGAAGCAACAACCTGCTACAACTGTGATCATCAACTGGTGGCCCATGGGCCACTTTAGGTTTGTTGGGGGGAGCTTTGTGTGACCACTAGGGGTGACATTATACAGCTAAAAATATCTAACGATTTTTAACATTTATTGATGTTTTTACAATTTAAGACAAATGAAAATACCAGATATTTGTCAAGAGAGGGGGGTAGATTTTTTTTTAATTAATAAAAAACTATGAACTATGCAGTCCTATGTAATTTTTTTAATTGCGAAAAAATGTATTAAGTATAGAAATAAAGCACAAAGTTAAAGTGAGTATGTTTTACTCCTTGTTTCACATATTGGCTAAATAAATTAGAGGAAAACTCCTCAAACTAGTCCTTTTTTGTTTTGTTGTTTGTATAACAACCAACAAAATTCAGTTTTGTTAGTTTTGGTCAAAGTTTGAAAGAGACGCTGTGGAGGAACCAAAGAGCCACATGTGGCTCCAGAGCCGCAGGTTGAAGACCCCTGAGTCGGACAGAGAAATTCACATGAAGCTATTAATTTTAACCCAAACGATGATAACTTACTGAGAGTGGCACCACAGAGCATACTTTACTCAGCAGCAGCCTCACACTGGCTCCTTCCCAGACCCAACATCAACAAAGATACTGGGGGTGAGGCAGCTCCAGCCTGCCCCTGCAGTCTGGCTCTGTGGAGTCCTCCTGTTTTCCCACGGGGACTCCTAGAGTCATTTTCTCATGTATGTCAGCGCTTAAACTTATTTTCTTGATGAGGTGATTTTCCATTACCTACGTAAGTCCTAAGATAAACAACTGCTGAAGCCATAAGTCACTGAGAGGATCACTTCTGGCTGTCAAACTCAACAATCATGTAGACGTAGGTGCGGATATTTGTTTAAGAAAATATTTTACAAGGATTCACACTGCTGCTTGTTTTCTAATGTAGGTAGTCCACACATACACGTGTACGTGTGTGTGTGTTTTATTTTATTGAATCTAGGAGAAATTAATCAGATGTACCTCTACAACTGATTAACATTTGGAGCTGGCCTGATTCAAGATGGCTGCCACAGCCAACTGACTTTAAAAACACAAAAGTCCAGTCAGTTTTATAGATATTGATCTAAAATAGGGTGTGGTAGTTGCTGAGACTGATCCCTAACACATGAACACAAACATATCGGGATCTTCGTCTTAGATTTTATCATCCAACCGTTTGGATTAAACTCTGTATACCTGTTATTAGCAAAATATCTCATAAACCACTGGATGGATATTAATGCAGCTTAGCTATAACTCAGTCAATTCTACAAACAAGAAGCTATTTTTCTGTGGTTCTAAATGAGTCAGAGTACCATAATTTTTGCTGTATAAGACACAGTTTTTTTGCATAAATTATCATGCCTGCAATTTATACAGCTAAGCAATGTATTTATATTTTCCCCTCATATTTATAACCAGCTTTTGGCTGAGATCTGATGATTTCATTCATTCTAATATGGAAAATATTAAACACTACCATTTTCAGCCACTAGAGGGCCCTTGACTAGTATGGCAAGCCAAGTGTCTCATTAATAGGTAAAAGCGGCTATTAATGAGACACTTGGCTTGCCATACAAAACCACCTTCGTCTCGCTTTGGAACTCCTGGAGCAAACATCAAATCTGCTGCATTTCACCGCACCGCCCAGGAGAAATGCAGCTGATTTGACCATTGAAGAGCATTTATTACAGAGAAGTTCAACTGAGACACACCTTTGCTATAATTTCGAGCAAACAAATAATTGTTTTTAAATGTTAATCTTGTTAAATTCTTGTTAAAGTCCTTCTGTGCACGCTCCTGCGGCCTCCATTTGGCAGCCAATCAGTTTTTGGCACAACACCGGCCCACATTTCCGGGTTGTCAGCGGTGACGCATAAAAGAGGAGTTTTATACGGTGGTGGGACATTTACGGCGGAAAGTATGATAAGCACTACATCTACCACGGGACAACTTTTAGAGTCAATTCTATTCAACACCGCTGCTCCAGCTAATCAACATCAGCCAGCACAAAAATGACTTAACTCATAGGATTTTACAGAAGTTGAGCTAAAATCCGATGTGGTATATTCTCAACACAAACTGAAGTCACTGACAGATCCCATAACATGCTGCATATCACAGAACCTTACTTTCAAAGTTGGACCAAAATGACTAAAACTGTAATTTCTGATCAAAAAGACGATCTTAGCCTAAAGTTCTGTCACTACAGATGTGATTTGTTCATTCAAGGAATGCTTCTGCAGGTCTTTCCCATCATTTGTCCTCAATGACGTCCATGTTTTCTTAGCCGAACCAGGAGTTTTAAAGAGTCTTGCTGGGTGGATGGATGATGAGTGCAGCCTCACAGTCTCTGTGGGTGAGACCCACTCTCTGTGACCTCAGTGGGACGTTCTGTGTGAGCAGCCTGTGAGTTGTCAGGCACCACGGACCAACTTTCCCCTCATCTAGCTTTGTGAGAACTTACAGAACCATGCTCCGGAAGGCAAATTCATCATTATGTCAAAAATGTACATTTCAGGTCTTGGATAATACATTTTTAGACACTTAAGCCTTTTTACCCAGAACAGGACTTTTGAGAGATGTAGGGAAAGTTCTGTGTTTAAAACAGTCTGATTAGCTTATTAAAACATTTGTTTTATCCGGAGTTAGGATGAGTTAATAGGTGCATTTTAGAAGTGGTGCTGAGCAACCAGACAAAGCAACACTGACCTCTTGTCATGAGCTCTTCTATCACCCTCAGTGCACCAGGAGAACAGAAAAACAGAACATCTTGGATTGTTTGGAGTTAACAGATGAACCCTCCATCACCAGCCAAAGGGACCACTACAGGACCTAACCAGGAGTCAGCTCATGTGAAACCATCTTATCAGTGTTTTTAAAGGCTCTCTCCCTGGCATCCCACTGAAGCGAGCTGCAATAACACAGCTCGGGGGTCTGGACCGGGTGAGGTACTTCTCAGACGGAGGTGGAGGGGTCAGCTAGGTGTGGACTTTAAAGTGTCCTTTTAAACTCCTGCACAGCAGGAATGTGTTTTTAAGACTCGCTTGAGCGGTAGTGCAGGATATTAGAACAACAAAAGAACACGTTCAGCAGTTTGAGAGGATGCAAGCGCTGCAAGTCTGCATGATGGCAGAGGTCAGAGAAGCTCAGAGACACCAGAGACACAAGACTTCAAAGACGCTGCGCTGTCACTGAGAGGTGGGGACATTCACAGAATCATTGACTTTCTTAATCTCTTTTCCCCACAAAGTCACAATTAACGAGTTTTAACCATATACTGTTGCTTCTTTCAGCTTTTCCCTCTTCAGTGGTTTCCACAGCGAGTCATCCTCCTCCATCTCTGTCCTCTGCATCCTCTGTCCTCACTCCAACTACCTCCATGTCCTCTCTAACTGCATCCATATATTGTCTCCTTGTCTTGTTCCTGGGAGCTGCATTTTTAACATCCTTCTACCAATATACCCACTGTCCCTCCTCTGGACATGTCCAAACCACTGTCCCTCCTCTGGACATGTCCAAACCATCTCAGTCTGGTCTCTCTAACTTTATCTCCCAGTTGTTCAATCTGTGCTGTACCTCTGATGATCTCATTCCTAATCTTATCCATCCTTGTCACTCCTAAGGAGAACCTCAACATCTTCATTTCTGTCACTTCCAGTTCTGTCTCCTGTCTTTTTGTCCATGTCTCTGTCTCCAGACCATACAACATAGCTGGTCTCTCCACTGTCTTGTAACCTTTTCCTTTGATCTTTACTGACACCCTTTAGTCACAAATCACTCCTGAAACTTTTCTCCATCCACTCCATCCTGCCTGGACTCTCTTCTTCACCTCTTTGTCACACTGTTGCTTCAATAATATTTATTTCAGATTACATTAAAACAGTTCAAACTAGTTTGACAGTTTAAATAAATAATTCAGATATTCTGGAGTGATGTACTGTGGAAAAGTTTTAAACAAATATTATGTCACCTGTTGTAGATAGCTTTATGACCAACCTGAGTTTGGAGAAACTGTGTCATAATATTGTATTTTTTATTTTTAGTTTGACTTTATTCTTGTCTATTGATAGTAATTCAGTCAAGTTTCTTCTTTTAAATTCTTTGTTTATCGTTTTCTTTGTCTTTTGGCATTATTTTCCTCAGCTCCCCTTGTCAGCCCGTTCTTCTTGCTCCAGCTCGTCATGGAGCTGCCTCACATTTGCTAAAGGTACTCATTGTAATGACATGGAGGCTGGTCCAAAATCATATGAAACACAGTTCTTTTCTCATTTCAATGGTCAATGTGTCTTTAATTCAAAAACTGTGAGAAAAAACATTTAGTATATATGTAGATTAAAAATAGTGTGCATACCCACATTTCAGAGTTGCAAATCAATATATTAATATATCAACCAATATATCAATATATCAACCAATATGTCAATATATCAACCAATATATCAATATATGGGGAGTGGTGGCGCAGAGGTTAGAGAGGTGGGCTTGTGATCCGAAGATCGCCGGTTCACGCCCCGGCCCCGACAACATCAAAATTGTGGGTGGGGTAGGTGAAACACCCACACTTGCCCCCACCCTCATTCGCCCCACTCTGGGCCCATGAGCAAGGCCCTTAACCCCCACCATGTGCTCCCTAAACAGGTCTCTCTTGAAAATGAGTTCTCGTGGCTCAAAGAGACTAACCTGGATAAATAAAGGCTAAATGAAAAAAAAAAAAAAAAAAATCAACCAAAATATCAATATATCAACTGATATATCAACCAATTAATCAATATGTCAACCAATTAATCAATATATCAACCAATATATATAAAGAATAAACACTTTCAAACTACATCAAGTTGATATAGGCCAGGATAACCTTTTTTTAAGTTTGATTTCTTAGTTTGAAATTGATATTTTTAAGCAGTTTATTACTAATCGCTCCTGTTTCATTCATCTCATGGCTCGTTTTGCTGCCACACCAGCACACACCATTTTACATTAAAAATGAGAGTTTCACTGAAGTCCTCTGCATCAGTATCCACGTTGGCTTCTCTCTGCATCTATAATTCATTTCGACAAGCTAACTGCTAGTCCAAAACTTCTCACAGGATTATTATTTCATAAATCTTTACACTGGCAACATTTTCACATTAAACAGTCGGTTCAGCAGAATATTTATGACAGTCCTACAGAAGGTGCTGCAGGTTGCATCAGTGGTGCTACAGCTAGCTGCTGCTGTTGCAGAAAAATACAAAACAAAATTTCATGTATTATTCAAAACTGATAATGTAAAAGTCTATGAAATAGCTTTTACTTCGTTCAGGGTGAAATCCACATTGAGGTAATTTAAACATGTTATCCACAGCAGGTAAGATATTCACTGTCCATAACTGTTTTCTTAAAATTATATTTTGAATGTTACCTTAAGGTTCAAATAGCTAAAATATCACATATCTCCCCCGATACTGTCTGTCCCTCTGTTCTGCATTACCAACATGAACAGTTTGTGGCATCTAGGGGGGGGGGGGGGGGGGGTTCTGTCTTGCGTACACACCTGCTTCATGGTGTCCTTAGAATCCAGAGCCTCCGGCAGTGGAGTCTAGATAAAAACAGAACAAAATACTTCATTATTACTGAGCCACTTCTCCTGATTTTATCAATACAAACTTCAGACATGCAACCCAAAGAAATGGTTTTGCATCATTCTTCTGCTAAAACCAGTTGAACTGGTTGTTGATGACAATCTTAGCACGGTTCCACCAAATAAACAGACACAACAGAACTGGTCTGACCGAGGCAATGATGAGGGTGAACAGAAACACATTATCAGAACATTATCTAACCTGTGTTGTCATTGTCTCCATCATGGAGTGGGCAGGAGTCAAGTGTGTGCAACCAAGTGGGTGGAAAGAGCTCAGAGTAAAGAACACATAGCCTGCTTCACATTTGCTTTAGGAAGAGGAAAGTCCTTTCTTATGAAATAAGCTTTTTAAAACACATTCTTCTTCTTCTTCTTCTATCGGCGTTTCCCTCTTCAGGGGTCGCCACAACGAGTCATCCTCCTCCACCTCACTCTATCCTCACTCCAACTACCTTCATGTCCTCTCTAACTGCATCCATACGTCTCCTCTTTGTCTTGTTCCTGGCAGCTGCATTTCTAACATCTTTCTACCAATATACCCACTGTCCCTCCTCTGGACATGCCCAAGCCACTGTCCTTCCTCTGGACATGTCCAAGCCACTGTCCTTCCTCTGGACATGTCCAA